GGCAGTGACGGGTGAGCTTGGTCCCTTCACTTGGAACTGCCCTGCAGGTGGTTAAGAAAAGGACAGTCATTGCTGAGCATGTGGCAGGCTTGGCGGTGGCTTTGACCAGAGAGGAAAGATATCAGGTCAGTAATACGATGAATTTGGACAATTGATGAGCAGAGCTAAAGTAGGAGATGTGGATTCACCTTTAAGAAGACACAGATAAGAGGACACAGTGCATTAGGGTTAATGTGCAATAGTCGCAGGACCTGAAGCTAAACTGAGATTTTTCCACTTCGCATAGGGTTGTAACTCAAATTCATACGAAGCAGTGTATTTAAATCTTATCACTCTGGGTGTTGAAGAGTATTATTATTTTTCAGATGAAGATATTCAACTAGTGAAAGCTTTAACACTTTACCATATAACACATAAAAGCGGGACATAAAATGAAAATTGTTAAGTGATTTCAAATATTATCTTTCTTTAAAGCATATAGTACTTAGTGTTATATAATCATATAAGCCAACTAATGTGAAAACATTAAAACTAATATTTCTCTCCCATCCAAATACTAAGTAGTCCCAATCCTGATTAACTTCTGAAATCAAACAATACTGGGCATGTGCAGGGTGATATGGGCATAAAAAAATTAGTGCTTTTTTGTAAGCGAAGTGTAGAAGATACTCCCTATTCTCATTTTTAAAATTTAATATATGTAGCCCACACAGAATGCTTGGACCCACGTGCTGGCACCTGGCCATTTCCACAACTGTGGACTCCGCACCTTGGCTCAGCCCCCACCAATGTGGACTTGGCTCTTGTCCCCTCTCCTCGGGTCAAGAGAAGTGCCAGTCAAACCACAGACGTGGTCCTGTTAAGGCAAAAGTATGAAATAGGAGATTCAACATGGTTTACTAGAGGAAGATTCACATCACAGGAGCTGAGGTAAGATCCACTGAGAAAGAATGATCTGGAAGAGCCTACACGGGGGGGGAAGCACATTGGACAGACACAGAGAACATCAACAAGAAACACAGGAGAGAGGACAAGATGGTGGAGCAGTGAGTTCCCGCAGCTCGGCTTCTCCAGGACAAGGGGGCTGAAGTCTGGCGTGGGAGACAGCGGGAAGAACATGAGTCTCTGATCGCAAATGATCTTCCAGTGGTAATGCATGGTGAGTATCTGCCTTAAAAATGCCCCAGGACGCAGCCACACAGGGCAGGTTTGGAATGGAAGATGCTGTGGAAAGGGCTGGGAATGTGAACTTGAATCCCAGGGCATCCCCCTGGGGCATTCACACCATCGAGGTCCCAGGGCTGAGGAGGGAAACAGAGTCAGTGGACACTGTTGGCAGCTGGAGAGTGGACTGGGGTGACTCCCTCTGAAAGGGAGGGACTTGTGATCACAGACAGATCTTACCATCAGGTACCAGACTCCTGAGTTACTCAGGATTGGGGGCTCACATTGCTGGTGTGCTCCCACTGCTAGAGGGAGACCCAAAACAGGGGCTTGAGGAGTGTTATTTCTCAACTAGCTCTGGTGGACGGCACTGAAATGCATTACACTGCTCCTGCTGTGGTTGAATGCACTGCGTAAGAAGAGTCCTGACTCAATGGACAATTGAATGCCAGGGAACGTGTCTGCTGAATCCACCGGCACACCCAGGGAGGGAGACAGCAGCAGTTCCTCAGCCAGGACCTTAGGCTGGATCAAACTATGCCTGCAGGCTGATAGAAGGAAGCTCTAACTCTTGCTTTGCAGTGTCGTTTTTTATGCCAGAGCACTATTCCATTATATAACTCTAGGCAAGGTAGACGTTCCACGCCTCAACGTGAACCAAGACAAACAATATCGACAAGCTTGTAAGAGGTGATAGGGAGCCAGAGGAGGGGGGAGGGGAGGGGACTAGAAAACAGAGCTGCTATGAGCACGTGTGACTGCTCCCAAGACGGGTGCATGCTGCATGAGTTATAAACATGTACTAATACAATAAAATTAAATTTTAAAAAGTAAGTTAATATAAGAAGATGTGTATGACATAGTATAAAATTACAGCAGGGTATCCAACTGTGGTATTACAAAAATTACATAAAAAACTAAAAGCATTTCACTATTTCTGCATTTACCAAGTGAAGTTCTTTCTCTCAATTTTTCTTTCTTAGAGCACTTCCTTTCCTTCTCTGGGATGTAGACCCTTTCAGCCCCGTGAGCTTCTTCTTAGTTTTGTAACCGGACACGTCCTTCTTAAGTACTCGGGACACACCCGACGAGAGCGTCCGCCCCCGTGAGGAGAGGGACGCCGCCCTTCCTGCGCTGCGCAGGTGAACGCTGGGACTTCTCTCCCAGTGGTATCTATCTGTCAGTGTGACATAAAAGTAGGAAAAGTTCTATTTTCCTTTGGGAAAAGAGAATATATCACACTCTGATATCAGTGGCTGCTTCATTTTCAAGATGAATGTAGCAAGGAAGTTATGCAGCAGACAGTGAGTCTTTGCTAACTGAGGAAAGGCGTCTTTCCCACAAGAGCACATCTGCGTGGCTTGGTGGGCTGGGGGACTCTTTCCTGTTGGAGCGATCTCATGACCGGGTGTAGGTGATTTAATCAGCTTTGCTAGTTGATTGCTCACCCTACGCATCACATTCTGCTTTAACACTTAACAAAGCTGTTTACATCTTTCTACACTGAGGAAGGCACTTTTGCAAGTGGGCAGGAGATTCTGTCCTTTAATGATTCCCAAGAAGTAAACAAAAAATCTTCTATCTGTGTTCAGGGGAGCAGAAGTGCAGGCTGTCTGGGCCCATCAGCAGCTGGGACCGCAGGGTAGGCAGTGGGACCCATCTGCTGCCTGCCTTGCTCTCGCTCTGCAGCTGGGTCAGGACTGACTTTCAGTGCTGAGCACACAGCTGGCACTGGGGAATTCCATACCTGGGGAGTGCTAGGAAAGGACTCAAAGTTACCCTCCAGCCACATAAACATCCAGAGATCCTGTGTCAGTTTTGACACACAGGTGTCACTTTACCATTGAAGTTAAACTCAAGTGTTTTACAAACATCAAACGCTTAACCATCATACATACTGATCACAGTGAAAAGGAAACACACACTTACATAAACATACACATACACACACCCCAAATATGAACATATTTAAAAGGCCATGGATAAAATCCCAAGTAGGAATTTTTTTTTTTTTTTTTGGTTTTTCTCCGGTACTGGGAACCGAACTCACGACCTTGTCCTTGCCAGGCAGGCGCTTTGCTGCTGAGCTAAACTCCCCAGCCCCCCAAGTAGGAATTTCACTCTTTTGACTTTAAAGTGCATTTCCAATATCCAGAGTATATTAACATGAGCTATGACTCTTACCGTGACACTAAGTTAGCACACTGTGACCAGGAGTGAGTGAGGAGACACATAGCCGACAGAAGATAAGTATCCCATGCCCAACATGTTCAAGGCCAGAAGAGTTTCAGTTTTCAGAGATTTGTGGGCTTTGGAATATTTGCATTGCCTTTATCAGGTGAAGGATGTTAATAATTAAATTCCAAAGCTGAAATGCTCCTAAATTTCAAATGCACAGAAATCTGAACTTTTTGGATGATCACAGTGGCATTTGTTCAACACATTTCAGATCTCTGAGTATTTTGGATTTCAGATTTTGTAGTTAGATTTGTGTGTCCTACACTAGACACAATGATCCTCGTGAAACAAAACCGACATCAGGGCATCAGGACCCGAAGAGGCAGAGTGAGAGTGACGGATATAAACAATGAATAATTCTGAGGTAGCACAATTTGCTCACCTCTTACCAGCATAAGGGATCCTTTATCCAGTTCATCAACTGCTAACTCCTTAGAAGCACCACTCACTGGAAGGTCTGTGATGGAGGATGAGCGAGAGGAAGAGCTCTGATCCTGCACTCAAAGCTTTGGCAGATTCAGTTCATTGGCAGTCTCTCCCCTGGATGCTGAGGGAGGAGAGATCACCTCTGCTGTGGGCACGGACAGGAGCTGTCCACGTCCTCTCCTCCTCCAGGGCCCTGGGTGCTCACAGAGGAGGGAGACCCAGCCCTTCATCAGCTCTGCAGGAGCAGCTCACAGGCCTTGCTCCATCTCCCCCTGCAGCCTGAATCCGAAGCTAATGAGTGGTGATGGGGTCTGGAGGAAACACCGCAGAGAAAGCGCCACCTTCCCAAGACGCTAGAGATCGCCCTGAAGGCCACAGTAGCCGCTGATGCTGATCAGAGGATTCCCAGAGATCACAGACACAGGAGAGTTTAAGACGGGTTCTCACCTCAGTCTGGAAATGAATCGGTATTTAAGCACTGAAGCCTGTTAGGTACTTCCCTTTGCATTTCCCTCCCATTTGAAGCTCTCCTGCACTGAAATCTCAGACAAAACCCACAGGAAAATATGTGTCAAGGTTGTGAATCCCTTGTGGGAAAATTTGATGGTGAAAAGAGTAATATGATGAGAATCATTGCAGCAATGGACGATTCCCAACCGTGGAGTCTGAACGGTGAGCCATGCAGAGGAGGAAGGGTGAGCACCACGCTCACAGGGAGGGAGACCTCTGGAGATCCATGCCAGGGCTCAGAGGCAGAGTGTGGGAGGCCCTTTCGAGGGCTCTGGGGTATGCACACTTTAGAGCTCTCCTGTGCACAGGTCACGTTATGCAAAATCATAAGTGTGTGTCTCATAACTCAGGAGTAAATTTTCACCTTTACACACTGTAGTCTGCAATTCATGGCGTAGCACTTGACACATTGCTGCAGCGAAGGCTTCAGATTGGATCACCTGTGAGCCTGTATTACAGTTTATATCTAGAAGTCCCCATGAAGCCCCCTTGGATCATAACCAGGGCCCTATGGAGTGTGCCGGGATCACAGGGCCATCACAGCTGACTGGCTGTCAGGAGGCAGGGGGTCTGAGAGACAGTCGCTGTGAGGGTGACACAGGAAGGCTGTGTCTCCAGGCTCCTTTCTGGACTCTCTGCTTCCTGTCCCACAGGCCTTGAGCTTCTCCCCTCCCCGAGTCCCCTGGGTCATGCGGTGCTGCAGAGACCACTGGACTCTGGCCCCGAATGGGAGCAAATGTAACCCTCTCCTCCCTTAAGTGGAGTGAGGGATTTTGTCCCAGCAATGTGGAAGTGACTAAGGGAGTGCCTTTGGGGGCCGGGGATATAGCCCAGCAGCACAAGCACCTGCCTGGCAAGTACAAGGTCCTGAGTTTGATTCTGGGTACCAAAAACAAAACAATATAAGACAGTGCCTTTTTGACTTACAGGGAAACATAACTCAGCAAAAACATATCAGTAAACCAAGATAAAGATACAGGGGATACACAGGAAAGTATGAAAGGAAAACTCCAGACTGGTGTGTAGGATAAGAAGTTAGCGGAAGCAGAATTCTATGAATAAAATACAAATTTTGAATACATGAAACATGTATCACAGAAACATAGGATACCGCTGAGAAACAAAACTTACTGCCAACATGCAAGTGAGAAAACAAAAGCCAATGTCATCTTCAAGGAAAATGAAAGGTTCTCCAGACAGAGAGCCTGGGTGAGCCCCCTGTGTCAGTATGGATGGCGCTCTGTGGTTAAGGAAAGGCCGAGTGTGACTGAGACCTAAACCTGCGCTCAGCACGAGTAACGTGTGAGGAGGAAGAGAGAAGAGAGCGGGAAGGATGAGAGGTCGGCTCTCGTCTGGGAAGTCCCTGCCAGAGAGGGAAAAATAACACGAGAACAGTTCACATATTTAGCAATATGGAAGTACCGGAAGCAACACCCACAGCAGACAGCAGGGAATTTTAGGAATTTTAGAAAATTATAGTTAGACAACAGTAATTACAATTTTAAAAGAAATCTTTTAGTACTATTTGCTTTTTAAAATATTGATGAAAAGAGAATTCAATTTGGCAGAGAAAGCCCTCCTCACAGTTATGATTCTGTTGGCCTTTAGGACACAGGGAAGCAGGAAGATGAACTTGATTCCACCTCCCTTGGAGGAATAAGACGAGTAAAACCCCTGGAGCAGCTGGTCTCCCCGGGACAAACCTGCAGGGCGTATGGGTGAACCTGTGCTGTAGACTCAGTGATTAAGTGGAATTATTTTCTGGAGAACTTATATTAAAATGAGAACAAATATCCTAGGTCAATTAAAATTCATTATACATCATTTAAAATTTGAAAACACTGCAAAAGTAGTTCACCAGACTTAGCTTTTTAACAGTGTGTTGTAGGAAAAAATGTTCATTTCCATAGATTTTTCTAATATTCAGAGTGTATATGTTACACTGTTATTTCATTTTATCATTTTTTCCTGAATATTTTCTAAGGAAAAACTTCTAAGGGAAATTACTAGGGAAATGTGCTTCCATAAATTTAAGGGTATTTTTGTTTTTCTTTTCAAAGTTGGAATGTTGTCCAATGGACAATACTGGCTCTCAGCAGAATTTTCATTATTAATTACTAATAAATTTGACTATTTTTATTTACTTACTGACAGTATTAACTTTCTACTATGGAATACAAAGTCCTTAAAGGAGCCTAACTCAACTTTTAAAAAAATATGTGAGTAGATTTGGTAAGGTTTTTCTCTTGTTTTTCAAACTCTTTTTTCCAGTGTGAATTGTTTCCTAGTGGGTTAGAAAGTGATGTTTTCTGGGAAGACAGCAGAGTTAACTTCATGATAAAAGTGATCTCATATGTCTTGTCAAAGTATGATTGTGCATTTTATTGCTCAGTAGTATATATTTCACGGAAATAATTTATAGACTATCTGCTCAGATGCCCTGACATTTTACTTTCCACTGGGGTTTTTCATTTCAGTTGTGCATTGCATTTTTCAGTCAATCCCTGTCTGCTGGGCAGGTATCCTAAATCAGATGAGTTTTCATGTCAGAAATGGTATTTAATCTCATCAATTTACTCTCCTTTTAAACCTGAAGCAGTTATTAAAAGAACACAAAGGTGGATCCCAGTCCTGTCAGACATGACAACTACAGAACTGTGTGCACTTGTGACTCCTTTTCACAGCCTAATATGAAATAAAAAAGAGAACCAAGTATGACATAACATCTTTGAAATCAAAATGGAAAACAAATCAAAGACCCTGTCAGAGGTTCCAGAGTGATGTGGGCGGAGCCTGGCCCTGGGCGCAGGTCCCACTCCGGTGCCCAGCAGGGGGCAGCATGTGACCTTAGGGAGATTCATGCAGTGTCCAGAGTCCCCTTTAGACAAGGTTTTCAGAGAAGACTCCAAAGGAAAATATAGAAATAGGGCTTTGCAATTGGGCAGGGAAGACGAAAAAGAAGTGAATTAAGATGTGCTGTGTACATGAATGGACCGTTCAGGAGGATTGCAATTATAATGTACTGTAACCCTGTAATAATAAAATATAAATCTAAAAATACAAAAAGAAAAGATCAGGTGAAAAACTGAAAAGAATTACTCAGAAAAGATCCCTTGAACATCGTAACGTGTACTGTGTTAATAAAGTGAGAGGAGCTGCAGCATTCCGTCCTGAAAAGTGAGGAGACAGGGAGGGAAGGAGGGCGGAGAGGGCGCCCAGCGGAGGCCCAGACCTCGGGGGCAGCGCAGGCTGAGGCCTCCGTGCACGGGGAGCGCAGCGGGGTCCAGCCCGCCGGCTCCTCCTCACTCACCTGCGCCTGGCCAGGGCAGCAGGAGCCAGAGCAGGAGGGGCCTGAAGCTCGGGGCCCAGCGCTGCATCCCGGCGGCTCAGGGTGAGGTCGGGCCCTGTCCTCGCTCTGTCACAGCCGTGGTCCAGGTGGGTCCCCTGAGGTCACTCTCCTGCGGGAAAAGGGGAAACTGAGTCCTGGGCAGAACACCTAGGTCAGAGGATTGGAGCAGGGGTCAGTGTTCTTTTAATTGATCACTTATAAACTCAAAATAAAAAATTAAACAATACCAATCTTAAAAACCCAAAGGGCTCGCAGCAATTCTATGCATGAATGCTGCCAGAAAACTGCTTTCTTCCCTCATGGCCTCAGGAACCCAGAGAAAATGCTGGCAGTCTGGACTCCTCTGCCCTCCCCTGATCTCCACACACTCAGGGTTCTCTGCATCAAGTGCTGTGGTCCCGGATCTCTCTGACGAGGAGTCACCACACAGGGACGCGTGGGCGGAAGCGCAGCAGAAGAGTTACTCACATTCCGGAGGGGCAGCTGCCCGCAGGGCCCCCAGGGAGCCGCCCAGGGCAGGAGACGGCCGCTGAGCTCAGCAGCAGCCTGTGCCCGTGCGGAGGCGGTCGGCTCCGTCTCACCCTGCGGACGGGCTCCTCTGAGCGAGGTCCAGCGGTGTGGTATGAGAGCCTGGCACAGAGCAGGTCTGAGGATCCTGATAAGGAAAGTGCTTGGGCGTGGAAGGAATCAGCTCTTGAAGAGCTGCAAGGGATCGGCCTCTTTCAAAATAAAGAAGATATAACACTTTTTCTTTAAAAGAAGCTATAATATCATTAGCAACTTGATGTCTTAATATTGGCTTTGAGCCCATTTTTTATTATACGTGGGTCATTTACATGGTAGAAAAAATTTTACAGAATAAGAATGAAGTTACTTGAAGTGATGAAAATAATATTATTTTATGGGCATGAAAAAGAGGAAAACAAATCCTAAAACAATTAGTCTGTAGATTTGCTGATGTGATATTCTAAATTTTTATGGCATTAAACAAAAAACAGATCTAAAATTTTAGCCGATCATAATTATTTTCACAGGGTGTGGGATACTTTCTTTATGACAATAATACCTTCGTGTATTGCTAGGATTAAATGTGTAGGTTTGAATCACGCCTTTGGCTGATGTGAGCTCCAGGAGTAGATGGGTGGATGGTTCTCTCCGGAGACTGAGGGAAAAACCAGTATGATGGTGTAAGAATATAATACTCTCCATTGACTTTTAGAATAGGCAGATGTTAATGACCTTCCTGGATTGTACCATGGCCACGTGGTTATAGACGAGTACATTTTAGGAGACCGTGTGCAGTACAGTAGGATAACGCCTGAGCAGACAGAGAGCTCAAGAAATACAAGATTCCCCAGTAACAAAGAAAAGAAAAAAAGTCAAATTTACTAATAATTTGAAAATCAGCCCACGGTGTCGTCTGGGATAAGGTTTGAGTGTTTCAGGTAAAGCCACATCCACAGTCCCTGCCCCAGGCCGTTGTCCTCAAGGACGGGTACCATCTTAGTAACTCAGTACTGAACGGGATTGCTGTGAGCCATGACTGTAGCTCTGTGTGTAACCAAGCTGAGACACGTGTAAAACTGGGAACAGTGTCTGATGTGGAGGCTCTACTCCTCTGTATTACTGAAATCAAGAAATGCTGTGAGGTGAAAACAGAGTCTGTAGCTGAGGTTGAGCTCAGGTGCTCTCCTGCGTCCAGGCTGTGTTTCGTGAGCCTTTCTGGGGGGCCTGACTCCTGTGGGGCTGAGGCTGCTGACAGCCAAGTGGTGAGTTCTTTAGACCCTAGAAGGGACACTAGAGACACTCAGCAGTACGGGGCCTCAGGATTCACCACGTTTGGTGGAAACAGTGACTCACTGACAGTGTGGGTCTCCCCACTGCAGACAAATCAAAGTCCCCAACCCAGCAGTAACCAGAACAACGGTCCCAGGACGTGAGGTGCTGCGCCTGTCAGTCTTCTGCTGTCTGATCAGAAGCTGCTCCGGCGTTATTATCATCAGAGGAGATTGGCGAATTTACTCACGCGGAGTATGATGCTGTTTTCAGTATGGCCTTTGAAGGTGATTTTAAATCTATTAAGCAGTTACTTCTCTCCTATCTATATGACCCACAGTGTCTGTGGAAATGGTTCCAGAAAAACAATCTCATCCCACGGAAGGAATGAGGGTGTGACATCAGTTAAGTCATCCACAACTTCTAACCTGAATATCGACGAAGGCTGTTGGATGATTGAAGGACAGATCTGACGGGCAGGGTCCTGGGCTACTGCACAGTCTGTTTCTGGGTCCAGAAGTGCATGAGTGCATGATTTACCACACGACGGGTGGAACGAGGGTCAAAATACAAAGTCACGTGGAAGTGTAGTGAAGTTCCTCGTGTGTAAAGAACACATGTTTACACATGACGTGTGGGAACACGTGAAGGGAAGGACTGTTAAAGTTGGCATAACAGTGGTCAGAGGTAAGTACTGGGCCTTGGTTTAGTAATGCTTAACACTGTGCAGTGATAGAGGTTGGCTTAGGAGCACATTTGTAATTCTCATGTTAAGTATGTTTTCAGAGTCTGACTAATTTAAGGAACTGTATGTGGCTAACAAGGGAAATAAAGTTCCCTCTGAGAGCTGTTCTGAGCTCCACACTGTGTGTTTTGAGGGAGGGAACGCGCCACTGTCGCTGGGGTCTGTGACAGAAAGGGGGTGGGGGTCCTGACAGAGACCGCACTGCTTCCCAGTCCGGCAAAGGTGGGGATTTGTTTACGTCCTGTGTATCTGCTTGCAAGATCTTCCGAGTTTACTGTCATGACATTGGTAACCTTGTGGCGGTGCCTTAAAACACATGTGGGAGTGGGCCATTTGTCCAGAAATAGCACATCTGCCTGAAGTGTGGACAGCTGGGCTGGTCTGTGAGTCTCGTGTTGATGTGTAACGTCCTGGTTCAGGGATGAAGATCAGCAAGATTACACCAAGCTTCATCCTTTCTGGTGGTTGACAGCCACGCTAACTACTCCATGAACTTTGGTCATCACTCATTTAATGTTGAGAGTGCCCCCAGACATTCACTGGGCCCAGGGGACGCAGGATCTGTTCCGGCGCATAGTCATGCCAGGCACCTAGAAGAGGGCGGGTCAGCCATAGCTGCAGCAAGAACACCTCAGGGAATGATGCTTGGCTCTGCCATGTACTGACACTGCCTCCATGGTCACGCTGAGCAGGGGACATCCACTTGTTTAATCAAAGCCTGATGGACAGGGGAGCGCTTAGGGTCACAGGTTCAGAGGCGGCCTCTGTTGCCAGGAGACCTAAGTGTCTGCTCAGCAGTTTCTGCTTTCATGACATAAAGCATGGAACAGAAATGTCTCTGCATCAGAATCCCATGCAATCACCTCAATTGTACTGTCACCTGCACTGATTTGTGCGCCCCCTAGCGGTGAGCGGCGCATTTCCACGGGTCAGTATCCTGCCCCAGGGACCTCGGCCTACCCTGGCTTCTCCAATAATCTCAAATTCCCAACTCACATTCTCAACAATTTGTAAAGTGTGTCCTTTTCAACATATTTTTGTCATTTTGATGATGTTTCTCTTGACAGATGATATGAAGTAATGTCTTATTTTTATTAATTGTACATTCCTTTTTAAAAACTGAGTTCCATTTCTGCAGTGCAGTCATTACATGAATTGGTTGCTAAATGAGGAATTCCATATAGTGCGTGCATTACAGCATTCAGAACAAAGAAATGGTCTAAAGAAACCGCAACTTGATGACTTTGCTTCCATTTGCCTCTTACATGTATGTAGTACTGTAATGTGTGACGGAATGTAAAACTGCAGTACTGTTCTGTGTCATACAACCAGGAAAAATTACAGTACTGTGTAATCCAGGTGTGCTGTACAAAAAGATATTGAGGATCTATAAACAGGATGTAGAGAAGTGTACAGAAGAGACATTCGGGCTGACATTTTACTCATACAGTCCTGCAAGGTCCCCATCGTTGTCATCATCGGCTCTGTGATCCGGAGATGCAGAAGGGCCGGTAAGGGAGAGGAAGAAATAGAAACGGAAGAACAGCAGAGGCCGTCCTGGGCGAAGCTTTGGAGAAGAACCCAGTAGTGAGATCTGTTTTGTCATTTTATTTTTTGCTTCACAAACTTCACAAGGGCATCATAAAAGTACACTCATTTGCCATTCCACTTTGGTGAACCATTCAACATTTGGATCCAGACCCTCCAATCTTTTCTCCTCATCAATTTTTGGTGCTATTTTGAGGAAACTAAGATATAATTATACAAGGTAACAATTTTATACCTGGTACTTCTGGAAATAACGGATATGATGGGCAGGACGTTGTACTGTTTAGGTGATTCCTCACCTTATTTAATATGATTAATCTTGTTTTTGGAGCACACATAAAAGCATAACTGGAGAATAGCTTCTTAAATTTTAATTCAGCATAAGTCTAAAAGGTATGGAGTAATGTTCCACAATCCCACTTATATGTATTTACCCATTGTGTTTAATGCCAAACAATCTTCAGAGATTTTTCAAAAGCAATGATGAAATTTGGAATCTATTTATGAATTGTGAAAAATATGTTGGGAACATATAACCACTGAATATCTTATAAGATCGACACATAAACATATTTTATTATTTATTACTACAATGACACTATTGGTTGAAGGAAAAGTATCTCCCTCGGAGATGATTAAGACTATAGAAAGATCCAGCCACTTGGGGAAGGGAGCAGCTGAGGAGGGATCACAAAGCGTGGTAGATATGCTCACATCTTGACAGAGCTGGTAGTTTTATGGGAATAAAAACTCATCAAATTGTATACTTCAAACATGTTTATAAAGTAGTTTATTTTGATTGAACTTCAGTAGAGTTGTTTTCAAGAAGGAATAAAGAAAAAATGTGCCATGTCTTTAGTTACAGTGTTGTGGTTTCCTTGATGCCTGACTCATCTGAAAACATTTATCTGTCATGGCATTTTTGACTTTGGGAAAGAGCCAGCGGTACATGGTGCTGGCTGTGGTGAGGAAGGTGGATGAGGACACACAGCAGTGTTTCACAAGGCTGCCATTCTGCTGGATGACACTCAGCAGCAGCGCTCACTGTATGTTCGGTTATACTTTGTGAAGACCCTCATGAAAAAGCACTTCCAGAATTGCTTCAGAAAGGGTCAAGAATGATGAGAGAATTGTGTTTGAAGTGAGGGGAGTATTTGAAACAAGATTAAAGGCAATGTGTCTTTTACTATAATAAATTTTAAAAATATATATAAACTATTCGTGATCTATTGATCAACCTTGAAAAACTATAGAAAGATTTTTAATATTTAATTTACTTTTCTATCACCCATTTTTGCTATTCAAGATACATAAACAGAAGCATTTCTCTAGCTGACGAAAGGACTATT